GGTGCTATAATACATTGTTTTCTTTCGAGAAATGTACAAGCTCGCGAGAGACGCGCGCGCGCGCGTTTCTCGCGAGTACAACGTAGAGATCATTTTTCGTGTATTTACATCATCGAAATCCGAGCTCACTGCCAAATTATTAATTGTTTATCGATTTCGCGCGAGTCCCGGACTCGGCATACCACGCACACGACGACGATGGTGATAAAAGTCTCGGTGTCTCTCTCACCCACACATACACACACATGCACACGCATTCTTTCTTTTTCTCTCTTTCTCTCTCAGAAGAACGACGCGAAACTGTCAAAGGGACAGTGTGAAAGCGTGTAAACGTGAGATTTCGTAATTTCGAGATTAGCATTCCGCGTGTGCCCCGCCTCGAGAGGTCTTCCTCGCAGGATTCGCTTCCTCCTTTACCTCGTTCTCTCTTCGATCGGCGCACTCTCGAGAGCGGTGTCTGGGGGGTTCGCGATTCTAAGCATCTCGCGAGAGAATTTCCCGAGTCGTTGGTCGCTCGTCGCAAAAATCGCGCCGATCTTTTCATACCTAGCGGGAGAAATTGGCCTGGCGCTTTTCGACTCGTTCAATTATCTTACTCGAAGAGGCTCGAATTCTCTCGCGAGCTTCGCGCAGTTGTGTTTCTCGTACCTGCGAGACATCGACGAGGAGGGTCTGATACGATTCGGGGTGAGAAAAACCGAAAGATGCAACAACAGGCGGAGTATCCCGAGCGAGATGTATTCGCAATTGACGAATAACGATATCGAGTATGAGATCGCGTCTGCTCTGTGACTTTAACACACGCTTCATTCGCGAATACACTTTGCCCAAGGCTGCCAGAATGTAAAAAAAAAATGAAACTCAAATACGTCCACGGTATACAAATACAATTGCAACGCGATAATAATGACGACGATAATAATGGTGATAATAATAACGATAACAATGAGCGATCTTCCGTGACACGCGGCTCTTTATTTACACAGGTTTACACTGGGTCCGGCGCGTATTTCAAAAGCATTCACATCTCGGCATTCAGCTTCGAGAAGGATTTTCGCGACACTTGAATTTCGACGATCGAACGCTGAGGACGACGGAAGATTCGGGTTCTCGTTTACGTTAACTTCGCGTTCAGTTTCTTAATATGTGTTAAAAAATCGTGTCGGTATCTTATCGGGAAAGAAAAGTTTCGTCTCGCATCGCGCGTTGTGTCTCTATAAGAAATGTCTTCGCAGACGATTCAGATTTTTCGGCGATTCGCGAGCAGCGGTGTCGAGAGGGCCAGACAGCGGCGCGTAGAAAATGGCACATCCGTGAGAAACGACGGAAATCGCGCGCGCGCCATTATCTGAACTCCCAAAAAGCGACCCGCCAATGAAAGCGGCCCGAAGATTTCACTTTCCATCTCCGATCGAAGTGTGGCGCACAGCAATTGTATGCGACGACGACAACGGTAAAAGCTTTCGTGAATTTCATATTCATAGGTCGGAGCAGTTCGCCTGCTGCGAATGCTCCGGTGAGTTACGTGACCAATAACACGCCGTTTTACATGGAGTTGTCGCAAGACCCGTCACACACGCTCGCTTTTGCACCCGTCGCGTTAATTGAGGAGTTCTCTCGCGTTTCCCGTTTTTCCGTTCTCTCTCTCTCTCTCTCTCGCTGCTTTTTTCATTATTCTTTTTATTCCATACGACGACACGACTTACTGTCGTTTGATTATCTTGACTTAGCCCTTTGCGCTCGAATGTTGACTCGCGGAAATTGCAACGTATGGCACTCGCGTGCACGGCGACGTTACCGTGCAAACTCGACGGTGTCGCTCGCGCCCGTCGCGCGCGGACTCTCGTTTCTCAAGCAAGAAACCGATTGATTTGCCGTGTGTATTTAAATGTGACGATTAACGATCTAACGCTGCCAATTATTCCTCCCTCTTTCTCTTCTCCGTGATAANGGGGGGGGGGGGGATTCTCGAGTCGCCGCGGAAGATTTCACTTTTATCGCTGACTTTCGCTTCCCGGTGGAAATATTCCGCGATCGTCGGAGAGATTCAATTAAGTCGAAGAACCGAAGGGAATTATCCGACCCGACATCTGCGATATACTTCCTCCGCGTCGTCTTGGTTGCAAAACTAAACGTGAATCGTCTTTGCGACGAATATCGACAGAATATCGCGCGAACCAATCCTCTGTCATTTACGCAAAACGCGGGTACGTGTGCGACGGTCGGAAAAAAAAATGTATGCTTTCGAAATACACAGAATGCGAAGTACCACGTCTCTCTCTCTCTCTCTCTCTCTCTCTCTTTCATTCCTTTCACTCACACTCACGCTCCGTTATATGTATATACCTAACATAATGTACCGTTAAAGATTCCATTTATATATATATATATATCTATATATATATTTTATATATATATATAGCTCTTTTTTTTTAACATTATATAATATTGTACATCATACGCGTTAAAGTATATATACAGTATATATACAGTATACATATGACTATATACATACAGTATATATACAGAGTACATATACGACTATCTACAGATATTATACAAAAACACGGGTCGTGTCCCGCGCGACGCACTTAACCGAATCAATTATTTCGTCGACTTTAATTTTTCGATGCACGCGCGCGAGCGTGCCTGAGGGAAGGAGAAAGAAAAAAAAACATAAAAACCGTGACACGTGGAATTATATGTGTCTGTGTGTCTATCGGTCTGTGTGTGTGTGCGTGTGTGTGTGTGTGTATATGCGCGCGAACTATATGTTCGAATAATAATAATAATATACATGTATATAACGCGCCCTCGCGGGGCACGCGCGCGCGAGCGCGTTCTTTAATTTATATTTATCTTCACGAATATTATCACATTTTTCGCTCTTGCGCTCACCGCTCTCACTTTTAACCTGGCACTGTTTCGCGAGGCATACGCCGCCCCCTTCGCCGCAATACAACAAACGCAGCCCCATCGACTGGGGTGCGCTCGCACTCTCTTTCGTCTTTCGTTAATCGAGGCTTCCGAAGCACAGTCCATCGCCATGAGGCAGTCGTAATGATAAGTCGTATTGATAATAAGCCCTAATGATAAATCTTAATAACAAGTCTCGCGTCGAGCGTTGTCGGATTATCGATCGGCCTACCTTGAGCTGTCAAACTACATGTCACTGGATACGGGATGCGCGAGTGTCCGACATTGATAATCCCGTCAAGCGATTTTGTACGTTATAGTCCTCGGGTGATCGCGACGCTTTCGCGTTGCGAAACTTTCCCCGTACTTGATACAACCCCCGCGTTGGAAAATAGAAACGCGCCGTCATTGTCGCGAGAATTGATTTCAATCAACGGGTTAAAGTGTTCTACGCGCGATATTCGGCGACGTTGAAACACCGGGCGCGCAATTCGGCGCGGGTCTCGTGCGAGTAATCCCCGAGTGTTCAAAAGTGCGTTCGCTCGATAATACACGCGAGTGTATAATAAATGCAATTACAGCTGAACGATAAATTGCTAAAGGGTGGAGAGAGACTCTATGTAATTTACGTTCGCGTAGTTTATTTGTGCAAATTATTACGAGAAGCGATAACGCACAATGCGACGTGGAAAATTGCTTGTTTACAACCCGTCGCCGCGAGCGGAGGGAAAGAACGCTAAATAGTTCGCGAGGTCGACATTACCGAGCGAGACGGCATCACGTCGGGAGAACTTATCTCCCGGTCGCTTCTGAAAATAGCGATAAAAATTACTCATCGACGTTCGATTAAACACTCCGCGCGATTCGACGCGCGATACGCAAAAGAAATGCGGCAATAATTGATTCGGGATGGCAAAACGATACTCAAGGTGCAGCGAGATCTCGAGATCAACGACCGCTCTCTCCGATGAAGAGCGAATCATCGAGGCGCTTCGATAAATCCAAAGGAATCCTCGCTATCGGGATCGATATCGCTCGACGATCGTGTTCGGCGAATTCGCGCGACTGAAAAATTAACGTTAATTTCGTAATCGGACAACGCGGAGTATCGTCGAGGACGACGATACTCGACGGGGGCTCTCGAGCGCGGGCGCCGCGTATAATCGCGCGCGGTAATCCCGATGCCGATAATGCGCGAAAAGTAGAACATACCGGCGAGATGCAGGCTGTATCGGGTAAAAGTGCGTATCGACGTCACACTCGAGCGGCGTATCGCGAAAAACTCTCACGCGAACTTCAGCGGAACCGCGCGCGATTGTGCCCGATAAACGCGAGAACGGTGTGATTCAGTGCGACTCGATTATTCAGACATTTCCGCCGAACACCTTTCTTCCGCGACGTTCGAATTCACCGGACGAGTTTTGCGATAAAACGACGATAACGAAGGGAACGACGGAGGAAAAATGGAATGGAAGAACCGTGAAAACGTTAATGAATTTCTCTTCTGCCGACGATAGCGGCTTAAAATCCGCTTTATCACGACTGTTGTTTGCAATTGTACTTGAAACGGTGCTTACCGATCCGTTTGTTCGACCGACAACCCGGTACTTGAATCGTCGGTTTACACGGGCATTAATTATCGCACGCGACCGATCGATGGTTCGTTCGCGAAGAAAAGCGAAAATGTACCATCCCGTCTCCAGAGCGCCGACCGCTCGAGCGACTTTAAGAAACAAAAGACAAGGTGAAAGGGTGATTCTGCCGCCGGGACGATGGACCGCGCGATCGAACAACAGCCCGGCGAAGCCCGGTGACAGTAGTACCTTGCCGGGCGTCTACCGTCTGTAGACGACGGTACTCTCCTCCTCCTCGTCCTCGTCGTCGTACTCGTCGTCGTCGTCGGGCGACCAGCAGGCGACGCGTCGCCGCGACACCCGCGGCGACGACGACGAGAAGGTCGACGAGATGGTGGTCGTCGGCTCGGGCAGCCTCGGGGGTGGCATCGGAGGCGCGGATGCGGCGGTGGCGACGTAAGCCGCGGCGGCAGCGACTCAGGCCAAAGCGTAGGGGTGGGTAGCGTGATGTCACAAGCCCGGCGCCGCGGTGGCGACGGCGGGCGGCGGGGGCGCGCTCGTGGTCGCCACGCTGGTTACGTGATGGTAGAGCGGGCTCTGGTAGTACTCCTGGTGATGATGATTCGTCATGTGCATCGGCCCGGCGCCGTTGGTGCCGGCGTGCATGCCGTTGTGATGGTGATGCCCGGGCGGCGCCGAGTGCGCGTGCGGGTGATGCGGCGAGCTGAAGTTGGCGTAGCTCTGGTGCAGCTCGTACATCTTCATCTCGGGCGGCTTGGTGTCCTGGGCGCCGGGCGAGGTGCCGGCGGTGTCGCGCGGCAGTAACCTGTTGATGCTGAACGGATGACTGGTGGCGGTGTAGAGCGGCTCCTGCTTGAGACTGCCGGTCATACCGTGATGCAGGCTGCCGGTGTCGGACAAGAGCGACTGGTGCAGGCTGCGATTCACCATGGCGGAGAGCTCGTCGTGAGCGGCGCCGAGCTCGGGCCCGAGCAGACCGCCTATGTCGGTGGTGTCGCTCTTGAGGACGGTGTGGTGCTGATGCAGGCCCGCCGTGTGATGGTGATGGTGCGTGGACACCAGCGAGTGCAGGTCCTTGTCGTCCTGCTGCTGAGGACCGCCGTGGTGGATGGAGCCGCCGGTTTTCTTCGAGCCCGGCGCACCCTCGTGAGTGGGCGGACTGTGCTGGCCGGCGATGGTCGCGCCGGCGGCCGCGGCAGCGGCCGCCGCCGCCACGTGATGCTGCTGGTGCTGTTGGTGCTTGTTGGTCTGCCTGGTCAGCTCCTTCTTCTCGTCCTTGAACCTCTTCTGCCGGCGCAGGTAGCAGCCGTTCTCGAACATGTTGCCGCTGTCCGGGTGGAGGGTCCAGAAGGAGCCCTTGCCGGGCTTGTCGGGCGTGCGCGGCACCTTGACGAAGCAGTCGTTGAAGCTGAGCGAGTGCCGGATGGAGTTCTGCCAGCGTTGCTGGTTCTGCCGGTAGAACGGGAAGAGGTCCATGATGAACTGATAGATCTCCGAGAGGGTGAGCATCTTGCTGGGCGCGTTCTGTATCGCCATCGTGATCAGGCTGATGTAGGAGTACGGCGGCTTGGCGTGCGTGTAGCTGCGCCGGTAGGACTTGTCGCTGCGCGCCCGTTGCAGCGCCGAGTTCGGCGAGTCCGGCTCGGAGAGGGACAGGGGATCGCGGCTGACAGCGGCACCGGCCGACGGCGTGAGCGGACCGTATCCGACGGCGCTCATGCAGGCACCGCCGGCGCCCATGGAAGCGCCGCTGTAGCCACCCATGCCGCCGCCGCCCATCGACGCCATCCCCATCGCCGAGCTCATGCTGCTCATGTTGAAACCGCTGGCGCCCTGCGGGCTGCAACTCGGCCCGACTCCGACGCCCATCGTCATGCCCATCGAGACGCAGCTGTTGATCGAGTTGATCGAGCTGTACGTGGGCGCCATACTGCCCATGCCGGACATCGCGGCGCTGGTCATGGCACCCGCGTCGCCGTACAGCTTCTGCGACTGCAGCATGGTCATAGAGCTCACCGGCGCCGGGGTGGGCTGCTGCCGCGTCGTCAAACGGGAGTCATGAAAGCCGCGATACCACGGCTGCTGGCAGTCCGGTACTCCCTTAATCTTCCCACCCGGACGGCACCGGGCGAGACGCGACGCTCCGCCGAGTCGATCGCACAGAACGCCGGCTGCTCAGATATCCACCTCGCGCCGAGAGATTCACCGAGAATAGAATCGGCTTTCTTCTTCCCGCGGCATGTCGACGACACTGAACACTGAATCGGAACGGGAGAGCGCCTCCCTTTACGAACCTCGCTCAGGAGATACTCTCCCGGGCACACACTGGACTGCGTCCGTTTCTCGTACGGCGACGACGGTGCAACGAACAACGTCCTCTTCCTCCCGCGAACGGTGCACAATGCGTTTGTTGAAGACGCGCACTCGACGGGATGCGGACGAGCGAGCGAGCGCGAAAGGGCTCACACCCCGCGGTAGATAGGGGTAATTGTTGCTCCGACAACACAAGGACGCGACAAGGTAGAGAGAGAGTGTATGTCGAGTAACGGGGAGGACGAGTGCGCGAAACAACAACCACCACCGGAGCCTGGGCTCGCACGGGCTCTCTCTTCGTCGACCGCGCGCGCGGTCAGTTATTTGATCGAGCGGGGCCTGTTTGAGACCACCTCACCTCACCACACCACTCCGCCTCGCTTCAACCTCGCTTCTCTCCTCTCTCTGTGTGCCGTGTGGATGGAGGCCGGTTAGCGAGTGTACTCCGCTACTCTTGAGTCGGCGAGTCTTGTTCAAACACACCCCACCGTCGCGCGTAGCTGCCGCGCCCGGCGCTGCCGGCCGACCAATCCGGCCCGGCCGTACCTGGCGCTCGCATAGCGCCCGGCCAATCCGGCGCCCGCGTCCGTGTGGTTCTCGTCCCCTCGACCGACCTTTGAATCCCGCGACTACGCTCTCTGCACTTTGCCCTACCCCTTTCCCCTCTGCGCGGCTCTCTTGCCAGCTCTCTCGGCGAGGCAGACTTCGGCAACGCGCATGCACCGTGGCCGCTCGCCTTGCGCAATAGCGTCCGCGCGACGCCCGGTCGCCACCGCGACGACTGCCGGTGGTGGTGTGTGCCGTGCCAACCCGACCCGCAGCGGTCGCGCCCGATCGCGCCCTGCCGCGCGGATGCTCGAGCCCGCTCTCTCCCTCATGTCATGTCAACTGTCGTCTGCCACGCGTTTGACAACCGGCCGGCCGGCTGGTCCGCGTCGTTCGCCTCTCCGAGCGAGTCGACCTGACGCGCACCGCCCTTGCCGGTCTCTCCCTCCGTCCTCGCGACGTCCTCGACGTCGCCGGGGACGAGCGTCCCGCGACCGCTCGTGCGTCGCTCTTTCTTCCGAGACGGTGAACGGCCACGTGGCCGAGGTGAACTACGTGGAACAACGAGGTGAACGGCGGCGTAACAGGCAACTGCGGAGTCCAGCCGTAAGTATGATGTCGTTTTTAGTGTGTAACCGTGTGTCGCTGTCCGTGCATCGGTTCCTTTCTTCTTCTCCGGGCCCCCGCTTCGTTTTTTTCTTTCAACCACGATCGCGAGACTCAGTGTGCTTACGTTTCTCCTTCGCCACGCGCGACAATTTCCCGCTATTTCGGCCGATCGCGCGACCCCGTGCTATCGTCCGAGAGCAGTTGAAAATCCTGCCGACTAACGTGACCAGTTATTTTGCCGAATCGATCCCGTCGGGGATCGTCCTCCCGTTATGGCCGTCCATTGGCCGACGGAGAGCGGACTGTCAGGGCACGCAACGGCCATGCAACGGCAAAATGTACACCTCGCAGTTTTTCGCTGCATTCTTCGCAGACACGCGATTATCGCAGGTAAAGCCGCACCTGATGGTTATGCGCAGCGAGGAAAAATTTCGGACGTAATGTCGCCGGCTCGTCGAGACGGATTTACGGGTCGCGTCGTAAAGGAATAAACGGATAAAGTAGGAACAAAAGAAGATGGAAGTGTGCAGGTGCCTGGAAACAGTCATTTTCTCAAAAAAAATATCACGGGAAATCGCCAGCCTTAATGACGGGCAGCGTCGGTGCTCGCTGGTTACAGTTTGCGACTGCGATATGCGCGCATTATTATGAACCAGTCGGCAGGTAACCCATTTACCGTCGCGTTATTACCTCATATTATCCGGCTATTGCTATACCGGAATGTACCGTCCTAAAGAGACCGTCGTTTGCATTCATTCTCGCGGTCGCTCGATCGTAAAAGCCGCGGGATTATCTATCTCGGCACGGATACGCTGCCGACGGCCGCATTGTTTCCGACTGTCGGACCGCTTAAAGACCCAAAGTGCACACAGAAGAAGAAAATTAGCTCCCACAGCTAAAAACTATTCCATATAATGCAACTAAAATTTTGTTATCTAAACCGTTAGTTATCTAAACAGTTTAGTTATGTAAACCGTTTAGTTATCTAAACAGCTAAAAACTAGTTAACAGATAAAACTAGTCGATATAATGCAACTAAAATTTAGTTATATAAATCGTTTTAAATAATACTTTTTTCCCGTGTACGACGCGTACAGTCATAGTTGCATATACGATAAAATAAACAGTTAAATTCCTTAAATACTCAGTTATACGCACTGAGAAGAAAATATTTAAAAACTTATTTGCGGAATATAAAATTCATTTCATAAAAATAAGGTTTATTTCTGGGATATAAAGTTTATTACTGTGAAATAAACCTCACATCCCGCAAATAAATTTTTAAACACTTGTTTCTCAGTGTGGACAGTTGATTTTTAGTGCGAACCACCTCTTTTTTCCGTGTGCCATCGTGAGAAGCAAATATCCGAAACTGTACGTCGCTCCGTGCACAATGCTGCGAAATCGTTGACGGCGTTTCGAGACGCTGACGTGAAATCGTAAAGTCGGAAAAAAATAAAGCAGCACAAGTTCGGACAAATACGATTCGGAAACGTCTGCCGCGCCTGTAGTCCTCGTTCGCGCTCGGCGGATGCTGTTTAAATAACTTTCACATGGGAAAGCGAAACCCTACGGGAGCGACTTTTCCGTGCCTCCGTCTGATCTCCAATCCGACGGGCGGGGGCCGCGAGAAGAAAATCGCGGAATATCGCTCTTCGAGCGGCACGCTACTCGATGATTCAAGCGTTTAGAGTCGGCTGATACTTTACTCAAGAGACTCGTAAGCACACGCGTATTGTTTCGTGTGCACACACGTTTACACATATACAGGTGTGTGTGTGTGCACGTACACATACGCATATATAACGTGCATATATACGTATAAAGTATATGCATATGATATAATATATACGTATGCATATATAAGTCGCGTTCACGAACGGGCGGCGCGTTCGTTACAACGTTAGATCCTCGCCGAGCACCCACCTGTACCACCGGGTCTTTATCGAGCCACGAATTGTTTGCGGAATGAAAATATTGTCCCTGTAAACAAGTGACTACATTGTGCCGGGCGCGCCGTTCTCTTCGTTATAACAAATCGCTCCCTCCACACCGCGTGGCCCCTTGGAACACAAGCACGCGCAATCGAGAGAGAGAGAGAAAGAGAGAGAGAGAGAGAGAAGGAGGGAGGGAGAGAGAGAGAGAGCTGTTTGTTTCGGTTAGTACTGATCCTTAATCTACGATTAAATAACGATTTGCTATTTGGCTTAGATTACGCGTATCGCGGGCCTCCATCGATCCGATCGAACGCTCGACGGCAAACGCGGCGGTTAATTGAACGGCTTTTGCGCGGAGACCGCGAGGCAAAAAATTCGACTGTCTAACGTGTCGGACGACCAGGGGATTTCTTCGTCGGATTTCGGGGCGATCGCGTACCTCTTTTTTTTTACACTGCACATTTTTATCAACCGCAACGGCCAGCGACGAATGCGTTATAGCCGCGTGATTACACAAACTCGTGACGCGAGAGAGCCAGCCGGGGAGCCGGGTCGTTCGTTTGAAAATTTCATCCGCCCAAAATTGCCCGGTTTAATTTTTACTTGCCGCGGTTGATTAACGATTCATTTATTATTCACGAGTGGATTATGACATAATCGTACATTAAAAAATACGCCTCTGCCGACCGGACGATATTAAATCAATGAAATATTAAATTACAAGCCATAAAGAGTCGCCGGCTTTTCTCTAACGAGGACCGCCGAAAAACGACGATGTGTCCAGTGCTACAACTGCTCATTGAACGCTCAGTGAGCTCTTGCATTTGATTAGCATATTTTTTTTTAGTTTTAGAAATATATATCAGTCAGATGCAAGAGCTAGCTGAGCGCTCAGTGAGCAGTTGTAGTACTGGATGCACCTTAGGTGAAAACAATTTTTTACGCTACTTTGACGTTCTTAAGGATAGTTTGCACTTACTTAGACGACCTATAGACTAATAAAAATCTACTTTGACAATACTTTTTCACGACATTTTTTTATTTCTCGCTAAAGCCTTTAATTCTACAGATTGAATTTTAATACTACCTTCGATCTACTTTAAGACATCATCAGAATCACAGTAGGAGTAATATTATATTGTCAGAATTGAAATTGAATTTATTTGGCAATCTTAGCTATTACTACGTTCTAGAATTAAAGGTTTAACACAGGATCAAAAATTTCGACTCGGATAATGCCTCGGCACAGATATTCCGACAGATCGTGATCACCCGAGTTGAAATTCTAAATTCTACGTTAATTCTTCAAGTAGAGAAAACAGAAATAAGTTCCTACTTATAGCATCAAAGGATCACAACAAATGTTCCTTTAATGCTACACAAATAATTTAATTCTCCAAAGCCTAAATTTTAATTCTACGTTAAGTCTTCAAGTGGAGAAAACTTTCCCATTTATAATACCAAAAGAGCGCAATAGAAGACCTTTCAACACTTAACATCGAACTAAGTTATACTTAAACCAGGACTAAAATTTCGACTCGGGCACCTTATCGAATTGCAAAAANGGGGGGGGGGGGGGGGAGAGTAATAACGAGGCGAGAG